TTTTAAAAACATTCCCCAGCCCTTTTAACTCTCAATTTTATTGTCATCGTAAAATGCCACTTTCCATTGTCTCAGTATTTAATTGGCATGTTGCTTTGAACTCATTGAGTCTGCATGTTGCCCAGGTCACCTTTACACTGAAGGATGGTAATGGAAATAAAATAAATGGAAGTAAAAATACTAGGCCATTTCCTCTAGAAGATACCAGAATATGATTCCATTTGCAGAAAACCGTTGCAGTTCAACTCTCTTGAAAAGTTGATCGACAGTGTTGAAGTAACGTAAGATCCAGCAAGTATGTAGGCAGAAGCAGTACAATCGATTTCATTTGAGCATGGGAGGGTGTGTCAATTTGAAATTTCCCTGCGTGAGATTTTTTAAAACCCCAAGTTCATTCTTGCTTCCCTTCTTGAAAAAGTATCCAACCCTAGTCTTTTGACTTTTTCACATCTTGTCATGTTGCCACAGAATTCATTGGTATAGTTACCACTGGAGAGATGCAACACTGTGAAAATTCAAAATACGTTTACTGGATTAACAAACAAACAAACAAGAGCTTGCCCAGGGCCTGCATGGACAAAACTGTCAGTTCTGGGTTGTCTCATCCTTGATTATTTTCCATCTCAAGGGTTTATTTGCCCAAATGCATTAAGGTCTCCTTTTTTGGAGAACAGACCGTACTTATCAAAGCCAAGCTGCAAGAAAGTCCTACCCATCTGGAAATGTGGAAAGCCTTACCCACTCCTAGCACAAATCCATCCCAGGATACAAACCATACTCCATACACAACGTACACAAAAATACCAACACTGAATAATGGAAATTCTGAAAGGTGGAGATTATCTCCACAAACTATTGGAAAGATTGCTCACCATCAGCAGCTAAAACGTCCACATATAGAATATGACTCTTTGTGGCTTTGTGATCCATTTTCACAAGTGATTCCCCAACTACAACAAGATCCTTCAGAATCCCTCCAGGAGAAGGCTCTTTGCTGGTCCCAAATTCCAACAGCACCTTCTTGCAGTGGTCAAACAGCCACTGACGGATGCGAGACTGAGCTTCCGGCTTCAGCGCGAGAATTTCTGCAGTGGCCAAAACAGGATCGGCCTGGAGGGCTAAGATCACATCATGCACAGCCTCCTGCATGGATAAAACGAGAACAGATAAGAAGGTGACCATAAATGGGGGTAAATTATTCGCCCATTTGTGGGTAGTTTGCATCCTGTGTTATTCCAGGATCACTTTGGCCTCTGATTCTACTTAATGATGAGGCAAGTAATTGAAAAGGGGGGATTTGCAGATGCTCAAATATTGTATTTATTTGCATAAGCCCAAGGTAGCTGACATGATGTTCCTCTTCCACATTCATTGTCACAAAACCCTGCAAGGTAGGAGGCTGGGAGTCAGTGACTGGCCCAAAGTCACCCAGTGAACTGTATGACTGAGTGGGAATTAGAAGTCAGATCTCCTGAGTGCCTGGTCCAGTGTTCCAACTACACCATACTTGACTAGGGATGGGGTAGAATTGCATTTGGTCTACTTTAAGTAAATTGACTTGGTTCTCCCTTTCCAGATGATCAGAACAGACTCTTCAGAATGCAGACTTTCCTGAATCTTCTGCTATCACTCTTCAGCTCCAAAAGTGCATGCAAAAACACTTAATTAGGAAAAACTTCAAATGAAAATAAAAGCAAAATCCATGTGAGTCTTTAAAACATTGTGGAACTGCAGTGGAAACAGCATGGGACAAACTTATGACTAAACGTGGACTGAATATTGATTAAATTACCCCTCCTTCTAATCTTTGGTATAAAAACAGGGGACACTTTCAATGTCATCATCCCATTTCTTTGACTTAAGAGAACACCCCCTTAAATTAAAGGGCATCTCCTTTAATTTTGTCATATGTATTGAAATGGGCGTGAGGTCACTATGCTATGGAATGCAACGTTTCACTAGCACGGCCAGCTTCCAAGAACTGCAAAGCATCAAAAGTGGAAGGTACATGGCTTCTGATTTTTCCCAGTAGCATGATGTTTACATTGAAAAAAGTCATATTGATATCCCACTCCTAAAGACAGGCTTTCTCTGAGAACAAACTTCTCTCTCACTCCTGATCTTTTAAAGTCTGGACCTACCTTGTCACCAGGTGTTTAGAAAGCACTTTGGAAATCAAAGCCAGTGCTAAGAGGGCTTAATTAGCCTGAACAAACATATTACAGGGTCACCCCATGCTCCCTCCCCACTGAAACCCCAAATGACATTTAATTAGCTGCCTTTCATATTCAGATTGCAGACAAAAGACTTCATTTTCTATCTAGTGGTGTCAAAGAGGCATGCGGCAGTCAAAAATAAATCTTGTTTATTGTGATGCGCTTGCTATCTTAGAGAACAGACAAACCACCCTTCCAACCTTCCCAGGAAGACTCCGCTTGGGAGTTTCTGAGACAGAAACAATTTGCATTTAATGACCCAAACAAAAAGAAAAGACAAAGATGTTTTCAAATGTTAATATCATGTAACCTTTATGGAAAGATTTGTCTTTGTTTTGGGGTCATCTTCAAGGTTGTTGCATGTGCGAATTTTCGGAGAAAGAAAATGCTTTCTCAATTGACTGGATGGTGTGTGTTTTTCTCTGTGTTTTTCTATGTTCTCCTTCACTCTCTTTGTCCGGTATTGTCCTGAGAAAGTGGCTTAAGTGCAGTGGTTACAGCAAGCTTGTACAACGTGCAAATTTGTCGGAAAGAGGACTGTGCTTATGAAGAACACATGGAAGCTGTCCCACGATTTGGCAAGTGGTGACCCCGGACTTGCGTAGCGGGTCATAGGAAGCCACCCTGAGATGCTAGAAACCGCATCTGTATTTGTTCTGGCAACCCTCTCAGCTTCCGTACATGGAAGAGACACATTTTTGCCCTTAACCTAAGACAAGAAAACCTCATTGACTAACCCTGTGTCCACCAGATCAATCCCAGCCTACCCATCCTGACCAAACTGGGATGTTCGAGAACTTTGATTCTATTGCAAAACATGTCAACATACCCAGACAGCCATCCGTAACACAGATGCATTCTGCAGAGCACAAATTTTTCAAGCACAAGTTCCTGGAATTTGCTATCATGTTTGAAACACCAGTATTTTTTAACGTACGGTTAGAAACACACCTCGAAGCACCTTGAGTGAGCATGTTCCTCACTCAAGCTGAAAAACAGGTCAAAAAGGAAAACAGGACAGAGCCAAAATGAGCCTCAAGGTGAATTTGACTTTTCCAAGGAAAGGCCAATTGAAGTCTTTTCAGACTTATCCATTTCAGATCCCCTTAATTGGAGATGCCAAGGAACGAAGGAACGAACAAACAAGCTGGGTCCTTCCATGTAAGAAGAGAAACTCAGCTCCTGAGATAAAGTCCAGCTCCAAGAGCTTAAACAGGGCCTTGTATGGTGAAAAACAACCAGTCCATTGAGAATCGGAATACTTTGGCATCTACTAAACAGCTTTAGTGGCTCCCATGAGGTATATTATATATAGTTTAGATATTTTGATCTATCAGAGCACCACCTTTTCTTTCCCTCTTGCTTCTTTCCCACTTGGCTCCAAGCCCTTTCACAAACACTTTGAAATAACTGTTTCATAGTTTCACACAAGATTTAAAAGAAAAAATAGATTAGGGCAACTGAGTTCTTATCCTTCAGCCTGAGTCAAGGCACAGGTTGATGGAAATGAGCAGGGACAGGTAGAGGTTTGTTGGCTCACAAGCTGGGTTTCCTCATTGCACTTCCAAACCAACAGGTCAAGCTTTGGCAAAAGGTCTTTCTCCAGGGTACCTCCAATGAGCACAACCAACAACAATGGCTCTCTGAGTGTGCACACAATGTTTTGTTGAACCCAAGCTAACAAGGACTTCCCAGCATCCTCCTTTTGAGGACCCCTGGCCCCTTCCCTCTAGGAAGGCCCATTTGAGACAGGCAAGCCCATCTCTGCCCATCATCCCCTAACTGATTGTCCTATCTCTCCTGAGGTTGTGCCATGGGGTCCAGAGTCATGCCAGGCTCGACTGGCTGAAAGGGTCCTGTCATGCCCCCTCCCTGAAGTTGTAGAACCTGACCATTCTTTATTCTTTTCAGCATCAGGGGAAGACCTCTTATTTTCCCAATATTTTAACTAAATCCTTGGTTTTATCCTTGTTTTTATCATTATTTATCAGATGCAGTATGTTGTCTGTTTTTGTAGTTGTTATGGTTTGGGGTATGAGGGGATGGGGTATGAGGCGAGACTGAGGGAACTGGGTCTCTTCAGCCTGGAGAAGAGGATACTCCGAGGGGATCTGTTGGCGACATACAGGTCTGTGAGGGGGTGTCACACGGAGGTGGGGAGAGACCTGTTCTCCCCTGCAGAGGAAGGCAGGACGCACTCCAACGGAGCCAAGCTCAGGGAACCAAGGTTCCTTTTAGATGCCAGGAAGCACGTCCTGACAGTCAGGACCCTGAGGGTGTGGAATGGGTGTCCACGAGAGGTTGCTGAGGCCCCATCGGTGAGGGTGTTCAAGGATAGGCTGGACGTGCACATGGTGGGCATGTCGTGAGCGGAGCCAGTCGGAACCGGGGGTCAGAATAGATGGCCCGGGAGACCCCTTCTGACTCGCTCTGTTTCTATGGTTTGCTTCCTTCTTTGGTGTTTTGCTTTGTTTTTTTGTAGGCTGTCCAGGAACTTTTAGTAATGGGAGAGCATCTACATAAATAAATGAATATTCTCAGAGTCCACCTGAACAGCTTGGGGTGGGATAAGCCCCTCAGAATCCACCTGAACAGCTTGGGGTGGGACAAGCTCCTCCGCCCCTTCCATTTCAGTATCTAAGGATTCTTATTCCCAATGCCATTCTCATCTGATGAGTCCGAATTCTTGGGACGCATGACAAAAATAACCCCCCCTTTCATTCCCAGGACGAAGCTCCTCTGCAGATGATGTCTCTGTGGGAAAACCGTCCACCCCTCAGCCCTCGGTGGGCCCAGCCTGTGCTCTGCTCACCCCAAGAGCTTTAATGCATCTCACTTAGGGACCTGATAAAAATAGGGGTGTTGTTTTCATTGGCGACACTGGAAACCCAGCTGTCTGTTCACAACATGATAAAACTTAACGGAAATCTTTTAACATGCAAAGGAGCAAGCCGGTTTCCAGGACTGGACAGGAATAAGAAGTGCTTTACTTCAGAACTACTTTTTAAAGTTAAGATAAAAAGGGAAAATGTCCAAGGACTCTGTACCTTTTACTGGCAGACTTAGATGGAGGAATCCCTCTCTCCTGTTATTCAGTGCCTCTGAGAAGACAAAGTTCATCACAGCATCTTTCTGCATATTTTGTCTGCTTTCAAATATATGGGGAGGATGGAGAAATCTGCAGTTTGGTTTCTCCTGGTTGTTTATTTATTTTTTGTTGTGAAATCTGATTTTTTCCCCATTCCATATAGGAAGATATATACAAACTTTGCTAAATTCTCATCCCAAGCCAGCAGAATAAATTATCTTATCTCAGCTACCTTCACTAGCTAGACCTCATCCCATCATGAGAAGATTGTGCTGTAGTTTCCTGCCAAATAAATTTTCAAAGATGAGCAGCCTGCCAGAAAAAGGACTTAGAGACCCCGGTAGGCCGATGAGTACATTTTGGTTCTTCAACCTTCATTTGGGGGGGTGGGGGAAACCCTCAAGTGCTTTGCCTAACTTAAGGAGAAATGCATAAGGTCTTGAAACATTCTTGTTCAAAAATAAGCAGAATACACGTCTTAGTTGTTCTTAATGCCGTCTGTAGCCCCACTGATGGGTTTTTACCTCCCCTGCCTAGTCCTCGTGTGCTCTCTCCATCCAAAAATGAAATTTGGGCAAAAAACTAAAAGTATTTCGAATGAGCACAGATGGACAGCTATTGTGTACACTTCGAATATTTCATTTCTCCAGAGGCCCAAAGGCACGGCTCAAGATGAAGTCTTGCGTTGTAGCGAAGCCGTACGCAGCTGGTTGAGGCTGATGTTAGTTGGAATCCAAAAATATCTGCGAGGGACTGAGCCACAGGTTGTTCCCCCCCTGGAGAGACTTAGCAGGCAGCCCGGGAGAGCGAAGGCCTGCCATTACACCCACACGCAAAATTGCGTAGCTCTTTGCACCAGGTTGTTTTGGTTCACAAAGCGCTAAACATCCCCCTTTTCCTTTGCAAAATGCAGCCTTTTCTCTGTAAAATGTCAAGAACGTAATTTCTCTGAAGAAGCTTGCCGATTCCAGAATTTGTGTTCACGCTTGCAAAATCAACATTTTGAAAAGGGGACACCTTTGCAAAATGCATAACTAAAAATGGCATTTTCACACTTGACACAATAAGGGGAATGCACTTTTGAAAACCACATTCTTTTCCTGTTTGAAATGCACTTTTCCCACTAAAGCAACAATAATTCCCATCTACATAAATTGCAACATTTCCCTTTTGTACGTGGCTTGCTTGCATATTTTCCATGAACATTTTCCATACACAGTGTTCAAATGCTCTTATTTTAAGTTTATTTTGCTCCTCAAATGGTAATGACTGGACTATGGGATGGATGGTGATAGATTACTACTTTTTGTATTTTTTTAAATTGAGGTATTGTCTTACTTGCAAGCAGTGTTGGTAGGATTCTTTCCTTAAAGTCAGAATATAATTATTTATAATGAATAAACAAACAATATATATTTAGTGCTCTGGTTCTTTTCTCCAGAGCTATTCATTAATGTTTGGCAGAGGGCCCTGTCATGGTAAGAACTTGGCTCACGGCTCTGTTTATTTCTCTTACCTTTTTCTGGTTCAGGGCCAGATGGATGAAACCCCTTCCGCAAAGAGCTTGGACATTTGCAGGGCTGATTTTTAAGACGGCATTGAAATCGAACATTGCTGTTTTCTTCTGGCCAAGGTGTCCATAACAGCGAGCTCGGGTGAGCAGGGACTCCGTGTCGCAACCTCCTGGATAAGACAGAAGGAACAACTCTTCTGTTGCTGCTTGAGAAAGATGTAGGATCTGTTCTGCTCTTCCACTGAAAAGGTTCCTGGGATATAGCCATTAAAAAAAAAATCCCAAGGAAGTCCCTTCCTACAGAAATAGGATCTGTGGTTGTACTACTAATAGGATCTGTGGTTGTAACTTCCCAGCAATCCTGATTAGGGCAGGAGTCAAGCAGAGCATAGGGAGAAGAATTCGAATTTGTCTTCCAGACAGTCCATTCCAATGCAAATCTTTGTCAAAGCTCAGGGAGCCAAGGCTCAATTTGGATGCGAGGAAGCACTTCCTGACAGTCGGGACCCCGAGGGTGTGGAATGGGCTTCCACGAGAGGTCCTTGAGGCCCCATCAGTGAGGGTGTTCAAGGACAGGCTGGACGTGCACATGGTGGGCATGTCGTGAGCGGAGCCGGCTGGTGCCGGAGGTCAGACTGGATGGCCTGGGAGGCCCCTTCTGACTCGCTCTGTTTCTATGTTACTGGCACTTCACAGGTAACAAGACAAGGCAACTCTAAGAAACCCTAAGAAACTCTAAGCTGAACCATAAGCCTCTGCTCATGTCAAGAGTGCTGAGCCCAGATTGCAAACTTCCCCGGGCTCTACCCTCAGGGCGGATCCTGGCGGTGGAAATCCAGAACTGGCAAACCCTCTCACATCCCCCCAGAAGCCCCATCCTGGGGTCAGAGACTGGACCAGGCAATGGCAGCCCCTCTTTTCCCAGCCCCTCAGTCCACAACACGCCTCCTCTATGGGCCGCCTGGGCAACTCCAGGCAGCAGCCTTGAGGCTTCTGCCCCTTCATCACCTCCCGCTCTGTGTCCTCCTCAGAAACCGCCAACACAGGACCATGGAGAGGCTCCGAAGAGCGGCACCTGCCCCACCCAGTGGAATTGCATTGCTCTTGTTCTCCACGTTCTGCGCTTCGTGATGGTCGGGTCGCTGGCATGCAGGACACGGATAGCTCGTTGCCCATGCAAGTCTCCGAGTGTCACCCCTTCGCCTCCGGTGGATGACGGTGCTGCTGACTGCCATTTGTAATGCGGCTCCTTTCCTACACCCCTGCCTTGCCCATCCTAATGCCTCCTAGAGGGTTAGGGTCCAGCCAGTGGTAAGGCATGTGAGCTGTAGATCAACATTTCTGGGGGTACCAGATTGGGGAAGGATGCTATTTATCGTGAGAGCATTGGCATGCACCTCTTCCTCTGCATGCCAGGCCTTGTGCACCCAAAGCAGCATCCTCTCTGCACAAAAGGAGGGACTCGCCCTTTAGATAAACTCTCCTAAGTGGGGAATTGCAACCTTTTCTTGCAAGCCTGACTTTACCGTTCCTGAAAGCAATGGCCTGTGCATTTTCTATAGCTCTCCAAGAGCACGACAAGGGCAGCTCCACAGAAATCCAAGGGCTTCCCACATCACAACAAAGAGGCACACATCCCCCAGTTTCCCAAAAAGGCAAGGAGGTAGTTTACCAGCTGCGATGGCAAAAGACAAGTACAGGATCGCTTCTTTGATGTAACCCTCCCCTTGTTTATTCTTCAGGATCGTCGCGGCCCTAGAATGGCAGTGATGTTGCATCAAGGCTCGGTCTTCCTCCCTTAGGATCTTCATGACCGTCAAGAAGCTGGACGTTTCTCCAGTTTGGATCAGTTTCCTCAGCAGCTTCGTTAAGGGGGATACGCAGAAAAGAGGAGCTGATATGAGCTTTCCCAAACCATGTGTTGAGGGGCAGTAGCAGTGTTGCTTGTTGTTGAAGAACACTTCTGAGGACCCTGGCCCTGGCCTGCTTCTCCCTGCATTCTTTCAAATGGGGCGCTGCTGGGAATGGCCTTGCAGGGGAAGCCATATGAGGAGAGGCTGAGGGAGCAGGTCTTTTCAGCCAGGAGAGGAGGAGACTCCGAGGGGACCTGTTAGCGACATGCAGGTACCTGAGGGGGTGCCACGCAGAGGTGGGTCATGGCCTTTTTTCCCCTGCAGTGGAGGGCAGGACATGTTCCAACGGAGTAAATCTCAGGGGACCAAGATTTCAGGGAGATGCCAGGAAATATTTCGTGACAATTAGGACCCCTAGGGTCTATGTTTCTACCTCTTTAACTCCCTGGAAGATCCATCCAAATTTATCTCTGGCTTTGCTAAACCTAGCTGACTTCCACTTCTATCTCCCACCAGCCAAGGAACTGGACAGGTTCGCCCAGGATGCGAACAGTTTTGATTCAAGAAGGGGATTTTATATTTTCAGAACTGGAGGAGCTATTGTCATCTGATACTTTCTTGTTCTCAGTGGTCCTGTGGTGGGCACAGAAAGACAAAACCAGCACACTGCCTGGCAGGAAGAGTGTCAACAGCACCTACTGTTTGGTATCCTCTTTGGCTATCACAACCCCCTTGCTCATGGGCCTCCTGCTGGGACACCTGGCCGGCCACTGCAGGAATCAGGATGCTAGGCTAGCGAGTTGTCCTCCCAACTAGGTGCAATGCAAGGGTACCCCCCCCCCCAATTTCTGGGCTCGCCAGCATGACAAGGTGCACAAAAAGCACATGGCCAGTGTGTGGCCTGCACATGGGGATGGTGGCAGTGGGGAATTAGAAACCGCGGCCCATCCCTCCAGGGCTGCTGAATCTGACTCTTTCCTGGTACAAGGAGGGGGTGACAGCAGTGCGGGATTTAACTTCGTTTCCCGGCTGTCCCAGGCACAGGCATTAATGGAGTAATTCTCCAGTGAGCCACTGGAAACGAGAATATTTCCCTCTGTAAAATCCAACATCAAGACGAGGCTGCCCTCTACTGGCCTGTAGCTGGAAGTTCTGAACTAGCCTTTCGGGCATCCAAACTCCGAACACCTGTGTGCCCCCTCACTGCTGGTTCTTTCTTTCATTTGCTCTTATCATCATCATCATCATCATCATCATCATCATCATCATCATCGTGGGATGGATGCTTACCAACATTTTGCAGTGCACCCTTCCATGCATGCCATGGGTCCCCAGAGATCTGGATTGCAGAGCAGGAATTAAGCCCTTCACGGATGTTGTATGAATGGACCCGAGGAAGAACTGGGCTTCTCCCTGATGTGCCAGTTTCATGCCTGGCCTTCTCCTGGCCTGCTGCAGATTCTAAGGGGCTCATGTGGGTAGAAATCATCCTGGGATGGTTCTTAAGAACCTTCCCCAGATGGATGAACTGCAGGCAGCCCTTTCAGACTGTTACATTTTCTTGTACAGATGATGGAATTGTTTTCATGTTGCTCATGTGATAAAATTGAATGATTTATGTACATTACCTGCATTTTTTCAGTGCAAACCAACCTAACATGCATTTCGCAAACTGGTACACAAACCAAAATGCAGCTATGTTTCAATATCCACATTTCCCTCAACTTTGAAATACAGTTCTATATGTTTTTTTTTTTTTAAATCATGTATTAGGGAAAAGCATGTACAAAATACTTGGAAACACCTCAAAAAGATATCAGGAGAAAAGTACCTGATGAAAATAGAAGTGAAAAATGCATATGTATGAGGATTAAAAAAGCTAAATGATGTGGAAATGAGATGCAAGACAGCTAAGACTGGAAAGGGAGATTGAAATGGGGGTGGGGAGGGATGCCCGCCCTGTGTTCACGTGCCTTTGAGTACATATGCTTGTGAGAATGAGCAGAAAGGAAATTTCACAAGCCAAACTGAATGCTCCATAGCAGAGAGGGGAGCAAAGCATCCCTGGAATAATGGAACCACTGGAAAGAGCTTCTTTTGTGGGATGCATTTGCTCCTATCCACTAATGTTCAGTCTACCTGCAACTCCTCCTCCTTCCTGTTTCTGGAAGAAACTTGGCCTTCAACACCAGCTACGGCACTTAAGCGGAGGCCACCAGCTGCAAAGGTCCATAAGCCACTCTGCATGCTTCCTACGGGAGTGTGACTTTGGTGGATTCTGCCTGCCTGCAAGGGGTCTACAAGCCCGGTATCTCATCCTATCACACAGCAAGCATTCCATCCTACACCTGTGTTTTTGCACATGTGCTTGCAGGTGATGCACCCGTTGCTTGCCTGGTTGATGCCCCCTTACCTGGTTGCAGTCATAGAGGAACCCTTTCTTCAGCTGAAGCAAAGCGAGCCTGGAAAGGATGGCCGCTCTCTGGGAGGTTTTGGAGAGGGCCACAAGGAGGACCTTGTGGGCTTCATCCACTCGATCCATCAGGTACAGGGCATCTGCACACAGGGTCCGAGACACCTCGTCCGTCGCATCCAGGTCTAGCAAGAGAGAGGCCAACCGGTGCACCCCAGATGCATCCCTGAGCAAAGCGACACAGAGAGAAGGCCTTCAAAAGGTCACGGCACTTTCCATCCCTCTAAGGACATGTCCATTCACCTCCTACGGGACTTCAGGATCCCGAAAATGGCCCTCTGGGGATGGGGGCAAAATTTGTTCCATCCCAATTTTTACAAAAGTTGCACATGGAGAAGAAATGGGTGAACCGGAATGAGAGTTGCCGAAAGCTGAAGTTAGCACGGCGGTTTTCCACTCTTGCAAAGGTGCACCACAGGGAAAAGTGAACGAAAAGCCCTTTGTGTATACAAGAATCCATTGGGAAAAGTGCACACAACTCACAATCATGGATAGAATGCCAAGCAACACGTTATTCTCCCCATAATGGGAATGGTTGTATTCTCCAAATTTGGTCGAGGCAGAGGACAGAGAATTTGTTTTGGCTTCTTTTTAAGGGAAGAATTTACCAATGCTTGCAAAAATGGCCATCTGGATGAAAACCTGAGGGTTACGTGCATCAACCAGGCATGTGTGTATGTCTGTGTGCATGTGTGCAAAGATGGCACAGGAAAGACTTAAGATATCCAGTTGTATACAAATAGTTATATGAAAAGCCACAAACAAGGGAGGCCAACTCCCAGAAATCCTCGCCATTCCCTATCTGAATTTAGAAAATATTTTTATTTTTAAAAAATTAAAAGGCATTACGGGGGCAGATTTTCCTTCTTTTCCTTGGACCTGCCATCAACCAGCTGTGCGGTGAGGAGAGTTTGCATCCATACAACCCTTTCCCTTTTGCTCTCTCCTGGCACTCCCAAGATTCCCACTTGGCTGTTTCTCTCCACCTAGCGCCTTTCTGCGCTGCTTCTCTCCCTTCCTACACCCAAGCTTTGCTCGTTCTCTCGTATTCACCTCTCTGTCTTACCTCTAGTCTTACTATTTCATCCCTCACTTCTTTGGATTAGCCCTGCTCCAACAGCAGGAGTTCTGCAACTAGCTACACCCTTCTTGGGGGCCATCTTGTGGTGGTGCCCATGACAGTTCCATGACAGATGGGCCCACAGGTCCAAAAATAGGACCCACCCAAAGGAATGGCATGTTTCTGAGGCTCAATGGTTAACTTCCTGGTTTTTGTTCACTCGCAAAGTTGTACCCGACTCATCATGACCCCACGGACAACATTCCTCCAGGTCTCCTGTCCTCCGCCATCCCTTGGAGTCCACCCAAGCGCACACCCACCACCCCAGTGACTCCATCAGCCACCTCAACCTCTGCTGTCCCCTTCTCCTTTTGCCATCAATCATCCTGAAGTTTAGCACAATGCAATAACAGGACCAATTATTATTCCTGATGAAGCTGGACAGCCATCTGAGAGGGATGGTTTAATGTGGGGACCTAAACTGAGAAGAGGGTTGGATTCAATGGCCTTCCTGGACTCTTCCAACTTGACTATTCTATGAATCTATGAAAACTGCATTTCCCAAGTTCAGCAGATAAGCCAGCATCTTACATTGTTTGAAATCTGGAGTGTAGATTTGCAGTTTTACCACCCTGGGAATGCTCAGCCTCCTGGGGAGAAAATTTAGATGTTGTATTAACAAAAACTGGAAGCTTCTTGCAAGCATACTCTGCTCCATGACAAAACTTCCACTTCTGCCTGTCTAGCATTTGCCCTTCCTTACCCTTCCTTCATCTGGAATCCATTCAATCCTCGCAATGTCTTCCACTGAGAAGTTGAGCTCCCAGCACCATTGCAATCCCTTTCCAGGATCTTCTGCATTTCCTCCTGGAGAATGATGAGCAGAAACCCTCTCTGGTTCCACGGGATGTAGGCTTTGATCACGAAGTGGGTCTCCTCTGATCTAAGCTGACAGGCAGTGATATAGTCCAAGGCGGTAAGGTACGGGTTTCTGCCCCAAGCCCGGATCATGCCGCGGCCACAGAGGGCCTTCACACAACTGCTGGGATGTGGGGAGCTGTGCTCGAGGACCTTTTGGAAGTCCCGAAGGGCCTCCTTGCAGTTCTTGGCATGGAGGTGACAAAAGCCACGCAGGGTGAGGAGGGTGTTGCCGTAAGTCTCAGGCTCAGAATCCAGAAGATGGTTGCAAAGATCTACAGAATGCTTGATATTCCCTTGCAAGAGGTAGCAGTCTGCCAGTCGGACATGGAGCTCGCGCCTTGCACTGGGGGAAATCTGGATGAGGAGGTTGAGCGTGTGGGCAACCTTGGACAGAAGCTCCTTGCCGTCGTCTCTGCGTACATCAGGGCGAGTGCGAATGGCTTCCCTGTAGGCCCCAAACTCCACATCCAGGGCCGCTCGGGCATGCTGCTCGATCTTCCGCACATCCTGAGCAGAGAAGATCTCCTCGAACTGCCTGGTTGCCAGACTGGGACTAACCTCAACAGCATCTCTCAAGTCCTGCAGCAGCTCCGTCACTTTGCCTCCCAGAAAAAAGTAAGCAGCAGCCCTCCCCATGAGCAGAGCTGAAGCTCGCTCGTCCCAGCTTGTAGCGTTGGCTGACAAAGCCTCCAACGCCTTGCTGTAGATGGACACGCACTCTTTGTATTTGTGCTCCTCAAGAAGGTGCCCTGCCTGGGCCTGGCGGACATGGAAGTCATCTGGTGCGATGGCAACGAGGAAGTCGTAGCAATCGCTTGGCCAGTTTTCTGGGCCCCTGCAGCAGTGACCTTCCCCACGAAGGGAGATGAAGTCCAAGACAGCCTGGACTATCTGTGGTAAGTGCCTCGTTTGCCTGTGGCTGATGAACTTCAGGGCTTCATCCCGATGTTTTGCGAAAGCATGGAGATAGTCCAGGACACCGTCTTGGAAGCACACCTGCAACAACACCAGGGCCAAAGCTCTGGTAAGGAGCAGTTCTATACAATAATGAGTGTGAAGCAGAGTGTTGCACCGGCTCACCACTTCCTCCAGGCGGCCCCGTTGGAGCAAGGCTTCCATCTTGTGGAGAGAGGCGGCAACGTTGTTGGGGTTTAGGGTCGAGAGGAAAATGGCGGCAATCCCAACGCTGAGCGATGGAGCTTTGAGGCTGCCATACTGAACCTTGGGAATGGGGCTTTCACCTCGACACCACCTCTCCAAAGTGGAGACCACTTTTGCCCCAGATTCTTTGCCCAGACAAGCCACCTTTTTCACGGCCACTGGAGCACTCAGGGTAAATGCAGCCATATAGAAGGCGGTGGCCAGGGGCAGTTCCTTGGCAGCTAATTGCCGGTCCCCTTCTTCACAGAGCCATGTGGCCTGCTCCTTAGATGACACAGCCACCATGGTCACTTCTCCATCACCTCCAAGCACGTGGACCCCATTTGAAGACCTGTAAAATAAGGGTCGTTAGAGAAATCTTCAAGTTGACTCTCTTCTGACAGTACCCAAACCCAATAGCACATGTTGGAAGAGGTCACCATCAGCGTCAAAATGGTTTAGGTTGTAGGAGTTTGGATCATGGCCAGGCTAGGACAGCCTAGGGCAACTTATGGCCCAGGCATGGACCAGCTTCAGCTCCCCCACAGGGTCCATTTAACTTCTGAATACCTTCCATTTTTCAGCTATGTTTATACAAGGAACTGAGCCAAACAAATTCCCAGAAGTCTTTCTGAGAAAATGCCTGAGATCATAACTGCTTATTTAGTTATGAGAGGTATTTTTACCATGCTGTTAACCCAAAATGGCTGCCAGAGAAGTTTTGAATCTATCAGCTAAAGAACGTGGTGTTTTCTCACTGGTTTATAACTGAAAAGACATGACACACAAGGAAAACGAGGTAGGTAGGAAAGAATTAAAAAAACAGGCCACATTTTAGAAGTGTGGTGGGAAGTCTCAACATTCGCTGTTATAGTCTGCAGAAATGGGAAGAGAAGGCATCAAGATTTTTATTTTTCTCAGTTCTGGACTAAAGGAAAATCATTTTGCATTTTCCTCCCTGAATAGTCTCCCTGATTTGCATGTTGTGGCCACCATATTTCCCCCGCAAAGCCTCGGAATTGCACTAGGTGCACAAGATTATGGAGGAAGGAGAAATGTGGATGAAATACCCAACACAGCTACTGCTGTTGCCACCTGCCGTGGAACAAGGGTGAGGGACCTGACTATCTTTTCCTGGGAAAGAAATGCACTGTCACAGCTAATGATGAAAATGTAGACATTCTCACCACCTGGAAAGCACACATGTTTATGACCATTTCATAGCTCATCAATGCACAATTGACATGCGCCATCGCCACCTCTTTCCCGGAAAATATTGTACAATGTCTCACAAGGTTTAAAGCCACTATCCATACCTGAAGGGACTCACCTGTGTGTCCTACACTGGATGCACAGGTGAGCCAACCCAGCCTTCCATTGGACCATGCACTGTTGATGCTCCTTCTTTTCACTGTTCAGTAGTTAGTTAAAAACTGATCCATGATATGCCTACTCCAAACTTGGCATATACATCCCAGATCCGGGAGCCCAGATGGCCATTTGCCCCAAAATTCATCCCCAAAGATCAGTTTTAACTGTTTGTGCGTATGTAATTGTGGTTACTTTTTTATAGTATTGTGTACCACCTGCGAGAAGCTGGAAGATGTGGTAGAAATTGCAACATGCACATTCTGGGGTTGTTAATCCTACTGCAGCACCAGAGCCGTCTTAACGCATGGGCCTGATGGGCACTTGCTCGTGGGCCCCATACTAATCTGTGTGTTTTAACCCTTGGAAAATTGGAAAACTTCCAAAATTAACAGTAGTTGTAGTTGTCGTAGGGGCCCCAGGACACTGCTTTGCCCGGGGCCAATCACGCTGTTCATACGGCCCTGTGAAGCACCCCTACACGGAAAGAGGCATCAATAGATTACTGGTGGCCCCAGAGTGTGCGGAAGTAGAGAAATCTTTAGAGACAGAGGGGAAAATCCCCATGAGAGCAAAAGCCCAGATCCAGCGCAAGGACAACCGAACATTTAGTTGCCACAATGAACATTTAGTGGTTGGAAAATATGGAAAAGCAGCTGAGGAGAGAATGGAGTAGAATTTCCCAAGCAAGGGAACGGCTGAGCAGGAAAATTTTCTGCAGCGTTTCTCTGCAGGTCTGCCTTGTAATAACAGAACACAATCCTAATGTCTTTGTCTGTTCACTTGGGTCATGCAAAATCAGATTGCCATGGAATGTGGCAATGGACTGAAGCCCACGTGGATTTCTGAAAAAAAGAGGATGGAAGGCTATTTTCTGTGAATCAAATGGGCCAAACTTCATGGACCCACCATCTCTCACTGATCCACTTCAAGGGTTTGCTGTAATAAAAGGGGGTGGGGGAGAATCACACCTCTGTGAACTGCTTTTAATAAATCTTTCCAAAGGTGAAGAAGTGCATGGATCCCTTTTGCTTTTGCACATGAGGAAAAGAGACAGTTGCAGTGAAATCAGGCTTTGATAGACCAAAATCGCCACATATTTTTCAAGGAATGGTTGAGGTTCTGTGCATATCCTATACCATAACAAGGAAAAGGTGGGTTCTCACCCACCAAAACTCCCCTCCCACTCAGCCAGTGCTTCTCCTCTCGGGGGAAATACACGGAAATCAACAGCCAGAAAGCCAACGACTGCGGAAGGTGGGAACTCACTTGCTAAAGCAGCTGCAGGGTGCCTTGGGCTGGAGGTGCGTGGTGGTCCCATCCTGCCCGCGCTGGAGATACTGAATGCCTGGTGCAGCACACATTCTCCCCATAGCACTCCATGGAGACCTCAGCTTCCACGAGCAAAGGGGCTGGGGAAGGAAAACGCAGCAGCAGCTGAGCCAGCCACATGCCCAGCTGTTTCCTGGGAGATGGTAAACACTAGGCCAGCCTGCATGGGCTCAGCAGGAGGAGGAAGAGCAAGCGAGAACTGAGCAGGGAAACTGCATGTATGGAAAGTGTACAGGTGACAAAGACAGGCAGGGGCTCAATGGGGGTCCACTGTTTGCCCCAAGGGACTTGTTTTTCCGGGCATGTTAGGAACCGTCTTTGGAACTTTTCAATATCTGCACTGTTTCATTCCCTGTTGCTGTTGCTAGTTTTGATATTTTAACCTCTGTGCTGCCCAATCCTTGGTTATTGGGAGATTTTAAATAAATAAACTAGATAAAAGCAGACATTGGCCCCAATAATCCATGGTACTTCTGTACCCTCATCTTTGTGGACTAATGCTCAGGGCATGCCTATATATTCATTTAAAATATTTATATGCAGCTTCCCATTGAAACAAATCATGAGGGGGAATACAGCAGAGTATAAAATACACAAGGCTGTAACATTTACATTACTTGATATTGTACATACGCAATGTGTACACCCATGCTCCAAAACATGCAAAACATGCTGAAAAACACAGCAAGAAGATACAAATTCAGAATTCCATTGACTGTATCAACGATGTATTAGACGATTGTATAATAATAAATCCCCAGATCAGAGGAAAAACAAGGTTTTGTGAAAAGGGACCGGGAAGAGATTGGTAGAGGTAGTTTTTTCCACAAGCCCCTCAACAATGAAGGAATTGGCAGAGAGTGTCCCAGGGTTGGGAGAGAGCAAACGAGAGCTGGCAGGAAGGTTCCCACCCTCAATTCCTGGGTGTCTTCACTGCAGCAAAGCCCCTTCTGTTTGCGGGGGAACCAACAGAAGGGCACCAAGGAGAACTTGACTGGGGGGATGCTGGGCAAAGGCATGAAATTCAACAGGGACACATGCCAGGTTCTGCACCTAGGAAAACGACTCCAAATACATTGGAATACCTGGCTCAACAATACCGCAAGTGAGAAGTATCTTGGGATATTGTAGATCACAAGCTGAATATGAATCAACAATGTGATATAGCTGAAAGAAGGACAAATGCTATTTTAGGCTATATTAATAAAAGTAGCACGTCCAAATCCCATGAAGTATGACTCATTTTACTTTGCTCAGCACTGGTTAAGCCTCATCTGGAGTCCTGTGTCCAGTTCTGGGCACCACAGTTGAAGAAAGATGCAGACAAACTGGAAAAGGTTCAGAGCAGGGCAACAAGGAGGATCCAAGGACTGGAAACAAAGCCCTCTGAGCAGAGAGTGAAAGAACTGGGCAGGTATAGTCTTGAGAACAGAAGACTGAGGGGAGATAGGAGACTGATCTACAAGTAGATGCAATGGAGCTCCAACGGAGCCAAGCTCAGGGAACAAAGGTTCAATTTGGATGCCAGGAAGCACTTCCTGACAGTTAGGACCCCGAGGGTATGGAATGGGCTTCCACGGGAGGTGGTTGGGGCCCCATTGGTGAGGGTGTTCAAGGATGGGCTAGATATGCACATGGTGGGCATGTTGTGAGCAGAGCCAGCTGGAGCCGGGGGTCAGACTGGATGGCCCGGGAGGCCCCTTCTGACTCGCTCTGTTTCAATGTTTCTAAATGCGTAGGAGGAAGAGCAGTAGGTCTGGGGACGTATTTCCCCCACCAATAAGCAGGTTTCTTTTTTGAGGCTAATTATGGACAGTTAGGACCCCAAGGGTATGGAATGGGCTTCCACAGGAAGTGGTTGAAGCCCCATTGTTGAGGGTGTTCAACATGGTGGGCATGTTGTGAGCAGAGCCGACTGGAGCCGGGGGTCAGATTGGATGGCCCAGGAGGCCTCTTCTGACTCGCTCTGTCTCTACGTTTTTAAGTACATGAAAGGTGGTCACAAAGAGGAAGGACAGGAGTTCTTCTTGGTCATCCTAGAGTGCAGGACATGGAATATCAGGCTCAAATTTCAGGAAATCAGGTTCCAGCTGGACATCAGAAAAAACTTCCTGGCTGTTGGAAGGAACATGTCCATGAAATCAGTTACCTAAGGAGGTTTTGGACTCTCCCCCACTAGAGGCACTCAGGATCCAACTGGAAAGACATCTGAGTGGGATGGTGGAACTTGATGTCCTGCACTAGCAGAGGTTGGACCTGATGGCCTTCATGGCCCCTTCCAACTCTATTTTTCTGCAATATTGTTATGTTGAAAATACAACAGCATCTGATTGGCACATCATCTATTCAAAGAAACTACGGACATATTCTCCTTGCAAATGGACATCACCAAACCTGGGTTTGCCACAAAGGCAAATGCAAGGCCAAAGCACCACTTCTAGAGTTAACTCCTCTTATAATTACACCCTATCCACCTTCACTGCTGTTTCCCCAGTTGAGTTTAGTTCGAGTTTTGGAGTCCAGCTTAGGTTTTCCTTGAAAAAACAAAATGAATTGGGAGAAGAAAAATATTGGTGAGCCACGAGTCTTCTGTGAATCTCCCACAT